GTTTGTTAGGTGTGTCCAGTTTCTTAAATCTGTATGTTTTATGTTTCCTCAAACACTTACACGCCTGTTAAAAAAATTAGGTTGAGCTACTAGTTACATTTTTATTTAGTCAGACAGAATTAAAGTTTCAAATGCGAACAAGAAGATGTATTACAAGCATCGGATGCCCCCCAGTAGCACAGCGGTATGTATGCGGACTTACAACGCTAGAATCCGGGTTTTGATACCTGTGGTGGGCAGAGCACAGATAGCTCATTGCGTAGCTTTGTGCTTAATAAATAAACAAAACAAACATACAAGCATCGGAATGAGGGGGACCGGGGCCCCTCATCTCCAATACCTGAGAGGAAACACTCTTCCACACATTTCGATATGTTTACGATTTGCCAGACTTGAATTAAGATTTCGATTCAAAGTTATGAGCTACTATTCTGAAGTGAAATTGGAACCTGGAGAGAGAAAAAAAAAAAAAGAGTCTAAGGCATGAGGTAAAGGTTTATGAGTTTGTTTTTTTAATTTCGCGCAAAGCTACACGAGGGCTATATGCGCTAGCCGTCCCTAATTTAGCAGTGTAAGACTAGAGGGAAGGCAACTAGTCATTACCACCCACCGCCAACTCTTTTACCAACGAATAGTGGGATTGACCGTCACATTATAACGCCCCCACCGCTAATAAGGGCGAGCATGTTTGGTGTGACGGGGATTCGAACCCTCGACCCAAAGATTGCGAGTCGAGCTCCCTAACCACCTGGCCCATGAGGTAAAGAGATCCAGAAGAAATAAATAACAGAAAAACATACAAATTGGCCATTAAATTGCTTCTTTTCACGTCAATTTAATTTGTCTCTCTTTCCGTGGTTTTCGTAATATCTTGTCCCAGAAATGTAAGGGAGGGGACGCAACCAAGCACCCCAATTTTCACTCGTTTTTAGGAAGCAAGTTTAAGTCATTGCTAACTTTGTTCCCTCCCAAATTCACGGATAACCAATGATCAACGACGAAGAGGTTGGAAAAATTATCTTTGGTTCTTATTAAATTTTCTTCTTCTGCCCACAGGATGCGCCACCTGCAAGAGTAGAAACAGAAGCGGGACCATCTGAGTTTTAAACAACGCCTCTTTACAAAGGATATTTTATTTTTTCCCTCCTTCATGCTTCAGTACTTACGGAGCTTCTACGTCATCGTTTCTGTCGTACAAACTGTTAATACTTTCTGATTAAAAACAAACAAACAAAAAGCGCTAACTAGGTCATAATATAATGAAATCGATCCTGTATAATTAACTGATTATTTATACTTATTACCATGTTTGTCGTTGTTGATCATTGAAACTTCGAACATTAACCTCCACAAAAGAGCTTCAAGTTTCGTAGTATCTCATGTTAAAGACGTTGCTTTAGTTAGGCACGTGTATGAATCTATACAAGTGTTTTCATTCACATTTTATAGTTTTTTTCAACATTAACCAGATAGTGTACAGTTCTGAATAGAAGTATGGCTAACAGCCACAAGGCTGGATGACGTCATCGTAATTTACCGGTAAAGTCTGAACAGAGATTAAATCTTCTTGTGGGGCTCTTTGTGTTAATATTTGTTACATGAGGAACGTAGATCTCTACTCTCGACTTATTGGGAGTCATGCAGTATAGTTATTACTGGTGAGTTACTAGTAATATGTAGGAATGCAGTAATGTTATCACTGGTGTGTTACTACTAATATGTAGGAATACAGTAATGTTATCACTGGTGAGTTACTACTAATATGTAGGAATACAGTAATGTTATCACTGGTGAGTTACTAATATGTAGGAATACAGTAATGTTATCACTGGTGTGTTACTGCTTATGTAGTAATACAGTAATGTGTACTAACGTCAGTTTATACAACTATTTGTAAGTCTGTAGCTGATTTGTAGACGACGACTCTAGAATCAGACCATTGACAGAATGATGAGGACTGTAGGTGTGGCGATATTCCAATAGTTACAGATCGTATGTACGCTATATCTGGCTGTATATGTATCGGTATTGTGAAGGAAATGGATCAATGATAAAAAAACAACATAGTCGTGCCTAATGGTTAAAAGGATTCACTCGGTCTTGCTGACGGAATTCAAGAGTGGTCAGGCCAAATGGCCAGAAAGATTCATTTGACCACGCCGAGGCATCTCGTCTTCCAGGTGATATTACGGAAACTTCCATCATTCTTAATCGTCCAGTGTAACTAAGCAACGGGATCCTTTAAACCAGGTTGGAGCATCTTAAAAACGTCCCAGCGTAATGGAGAAACAGTCAACTACATAGGAAAGCTTTATGCGTGACCAAGTGAAAATTAGGTCACAACTTGGTGAGGTTGGCGAGTCTCCATGTCTGGAAATTTTCAATTCTAAACATTTTTCTTGTTTTTTACAATTTGGGATGCCCTTGAAGTGATCTGTGTATTAAAACTTCCTTTCCATTATCATGTTTTTGGAAGAATTCCGAACGTCGTTAGAATTAAAAACTTGAGTTGTTATTTTATAATGTGTCACACTGCAGATATTAGAATAAAGTGTAAACACGTCGTTTTATGTCCTTGGAAGAGAAAAAAAAACACTTCCTGTCATTGTTTTACTGTTAGAAAAATACTGAAGCCGTGAGTCGCCTGCTTTTGTAATCCGAATATTTATTTAGATACAATCGCGCATCTAAAATATAAAACAATTAATTTGAAAACGTTTTATCCTGGAAAGAGTTTCGGGTTAATTCGCTTTTCACGAAAACTGTGAATGTGAAACGAGAAAGTATGATTACTTTTTGTTTACTACGTGCAATGAAAAGCGATGATCTGAAAAAGTTATGTAAGTTGAATTTTATTCGCAAGTTCCTGTTACTGTATAGTTGTTTGCTTCAACTTTAAAGCGGAAAAGTTAGCTTTGAGGGTCCAGGTAACATTAATGTTTTCCATCACATCTTATAACTCCTACTAAATTGATAAGTATTGTTGCGTCAGCGAGGTCACGTGACTAGTATAACGCCACCTGTTTCTAGAAATATCATGTTCCTTCAAGAAT